GAAAACGCAGCTGAATATGTATACTGAACTGTGCCTTGGACAATTTGAGGGCGGTTTGGGATTTTAATGGTGAAATAAAGTTGGGTGAAAAGAGCAGGATGGAGTGCTTTTTGGAAAAATGAATGTGACGGTGAAAAACATACAAATGTGTTTTACGAAGAGCGTTCTCAAGTAGTTTATATTACCTGCCATGACATGGATTGAATTACGGACATTGACGTAGAAGTTGGAACAAAAGCGGAAACCTGCACAGAGGAATGACACTGCAAGAGGAACACACGGATCAGAGAACATACGCAGGTTTGAGACATTCACTGTTAAGGAAAATAAGTGTGCTTGGAGGGGACACCACGAGAGAGACCAACGTGTCCTACCAGAGTAGAGATGGAAGCGATGCAATGAGCTTGTATGCAAGACAGAATGAAACATCGCGTGACCGTGAGTGATGGTGTGGGGTGGTCTTCATCCAGAAGTATATACATCATGGCTCATGATGTTAACACATAATCACTATCATCCAACATCATATAGTGCGAAAGAAGTTCAACATACATAATTAACATTTCAATGTGAAAGTGGAGCAACTCAATGACTTGTCCCATTACCTCCACTAGAGGGCGCTTTAGAGAGCTCGAGAATCAAGTTATCTCCCTCGAGAGGGGTGTTTGGCCTATTCTATACGACGCTGGACCAGACATTCTGGAAGAGGTGGCAGTACCCACACTTTACGCCACCGCACGGACGCGACCTCGAATAATCGGTGCACCCATTTGTACTGCTGAGTGAACAGAGGCAAGGGGGAGGAGTGGTTAATAAACCTTACCCATTGTTTCAACTTACACCATAGCAGCATCCTGGTTAGTCCATGGGCCCAGATATTCCGTCCCAACCGAGGTGGCATAACATTTGAGATTCCAATTTATTGATGTGGTCAATAACAGTAAATTATGTGATAACCATTCCAAATGAGTGAGTTATCTAATAATTATTATTAATTATCACGGTTAGCTATGTACTGAGCGAACGAAGTTCAACATACATATAAATAAATCGGTACAGTACTCGGGATGTTTTGCTAACTTTAGTGGGTGGTATACAAATGTCCACTCTGTCCCATGGGCTACATGAGAAAAGTGTGTTTGATAGTTACAGCTTGGGAGTGATGCCATGCCCCTGGATGTTTATCCGTTGGTACCGCATCTTTTTTAATGGAAGAGCGGATATAAGCAGCTTCGGGGCCGATATTAAAAGTTAAATTTATATTTATTTTACCAAGTAAGGCCAACTGAGCTATACCGTCTATCTCTTTTTTCAGAAGCGACTTGGCCACCAATCATAGCTTGACGAAGTGGCTTGCCACGTGGACATTCATAGCATCCAAATGCTCTAAACGCGTGATGTTGATTCTAAAAGTTGGGGGAAAAAAACGGACAAGGAGAAAAATCCATGCGACCACGGGTTGAGAGTGAGACACGCAAAATCCAAATTTACAGCAGGCAGTCAGGGTCGGGATTGAACCCACAAGCCTCCTGGATAGCAGGCGAGGTAGTTTACATCTCGCCAACACTGCCCCCTATGCCAACTTATAGGTAGATTTGTACGTTTATAAATTAGACTTCTTCTCACGAACTGCACATCAAACAGCTCGCAGGTGTACAAACGTTCGTGCGCACAACACTGGGTAGAAGTAAACACAACTCCACTTTTAAATAAATTAATCAGCCAATTTATTGGCCTTCCAGAACCAACATTGTCAAGCGACATTTATTTTTGCAGCTGGCAAACTATTGGCCTCTCTCGATTGCAAAACCCAGCAAATGAGACTTTCCCGGTCTCCTGAGTTCTCACATGGCTCGACAAAACTTTACATGCAATACTACTCGACATCTGTGAAAAAAGAGCTTAAAAGCTCATCGGATTCCTCCAGTACACCGCATTAACTAAATATTTAGATTCTGTAAATAAAACCGGTGTTGACCTGGGTCGCATTGGCAGAACCGTGCTCAAGTTCGGGTACAAACAGTGCGGATGAGCCACTTATTATGTAGCTGCCAACAACAACATCAACAACAATCATTGATTACATTTACCCGACTGTATAATGTGTAATGACAGTGTGACACCTGCTGGTTCTGGTTGGTAACAACCAATCAGAAGGGGGTGTATCTGGGGCAAATGGGTTAGCCGAGAAACTCTGGGAACCTGCTCGAAGGTTCCACGAGAGGGCGTGGCCGGAGGCGGGGCCTAGTCACGCCTGGGGGTATATAAGGGGGAGCGGGTTCAGGGCTCGTGTGGGGGTCTTGGGTCTTGGCTGCGTCGCTGCTCGCCGACATCGCTCTCTGTCGTCTGGCCACGTGGAAGATCTGCGTGGTTTCCATCGCCGTCATCGTCATGCCGCCAGTCAGCGGCGTAGCCGAGTGAGGGCCATGGGACCGCACCGAGTGATCGGCTGTGCGTGTAGCCAGTAAAGACGTTAATATCGAAGTGTTGTACTCGGTGTGAGAAGGAATTCAAGTATTGGCCTGTGTTGTGCCCAGTGTGAGTAATAAAGAAGTACCCTCTACACGACGTGTCGTGGAAGTCGCTCATTACAAATGTATACAGAGATAAAGATCCGCCCCCCTGGAGCCTGAACAGACTGTTGGGGCAAATGCTGTTAACGAGCAGCACCTATGAAGGCCGGAACGGCGCACGAGGGGGGGGGTATGGGTGGCCAGCACCACGCCCGACCGCCTTTGTATCCCCCAACGACGATGTTTTTACACACCGCACCAGGTGCTCATTTGAGGCCGAGTCGACCTAGGGGAAGACAGGGACCAGGTTCAGATATTCGTCACTGGGTGCCTTGTCAGCCGTGAGAGAGTCCCATCCATGCTTAAAGGAGAACTCTCAAATCTCCCCATCATCTGCGCTCGAGACACTGCGCTCGAGCGGTGTGCATTCCACGTTGCTATGACGGGTCCAAAGTAGTTGTTGCCGCAACACCGCACGTTCGAAACTTTGTTTCGAGTCGGTCACCAGGGGTGGTGGTGGTTGTGTAAGGAAATTAACCCACTGGGATTTTTGCACACAGCGTTGATGTAACGGTGCTATTTCAGGAATATTTTGATGTTTTTTTTTCCTAGATTTTCTGTTTGCACATGCACAAAGTCACTTTAAGATGTTTTTTCTTATTCACGTTTTTTGTTTGTTGCGGTTGCACCCGATTCAAGAGCCGCATGGCTCACAGGGCTATACCAACATAAATGAAACAATGAAACTCCACCCTCCCCCCCAACAAAGGTCTCAACGCAGGCGAGAAGACTTCCCCCCTGGGGCCGTTCTTGTAAACAGAGCGACCATTGGCTCCGTGTAACAGCCACCGGCGTCATCTCGGGAGAGCCGCTCGCCTTCCCTCATCTTGCTGAGGGGAAGCTTTTTGGCCGCTAAAAAAATTCGACGTCGAATGTTTGGGACGTGTGCTGCGATGAAACTTTTTGTTTGTTTGTTATTTGTTTATTGGGTTTGTTTGTGCGCGCGCGCGTGTGTGCGTGTGTGTGTTAAACGCACAGTTCAAACGAATCTAAATGTTAAAGGCGTGCCATAACTCGCTCGCAGGGCCAACAACCACATGGTAATCGACAACAAACGCAACCGTGTGCTGTTTGTTGTGTTGTCGTTTGTTGTTGTTTGTGAGATCGGATTCGTGTAACTTTATCGACCAACCCCGGCACCAGTTGTGTGGCGGGGCTGAGCTTCTGCACTATAAGGGGGCCGTCCATAAATGACGTCACGCGATTTTGGACGGTTTTTTACCTCCCCCTCGTCACACGGCGTCACGAAAAGTCAGACCCCCCCCCCCTCAAATATGACGTCACAAAGCTCTGCCCCCCCCCCCAATTTTTTTTTAAAACATGCTTCAAATCGCTTTAAACTAGTGTCATTGTAGTGCGTATTTATGTTGTAGAACACATTTATTAAAAAGTCTTTTTAATGAAGTAGAACGTGTTTATATTTATTTAAAGTTGCGCATTTTGATGTGACGTCGCATTGTCTGACCCCCCCCCCCCCAGGTGCGTGACGTCATTTATGGACGGCCCCTAACACGGAGTCTGCACTATAACGCACCTTAAAGAGCGAGACTAGAATTGGTGACTAAAATAATTGGTGACTCAAATAATTGTAGACTCAAATAATTGTAGACTCAAATAATTGGTGACTCAAATGGTGACTCAAATAATTGTAGACTAAGATAATTGTAGACTCAAATAATTGGTGACTAAAATAATTGGTGACTCAAATAATTGGTGACTAAAATAATTGTAGACTAAAGGAATTGGTGACTAAAATAATTGGTGACTCAAATAATTGTAGACTAACTATGATAATTGTAGACTCAAATAATTGGTGACTAAAATAATTGTAGACTCAAATAATTGGTGACAAAAATAATTGCTGCCTAAAATAATTGGTGACTCAAATAATTGTAGACTCAAATAATTGGTGACTCATATAATTGTAGACTAAGATCATTATAGACTAAAATAATTGGTGACTAAAATAATTGTAGACTAAAGGAATTGGTGACTAAAATAATTGGTGACTCAAATAATTGTAGACTAACTATGATAATTGTAGACTCAAATAATTGGTGACTAAAATAATTGTAGACTCAAATAATTGGTGACAAAAATAATTGGTGACTCAAATAATTGTAGACTAACTAAGATAATTGTATACTCAAATAATTGGTGACTAAAATAATTGTAGACTAACTAAGATAATTGTAGACTAAAATAATTGTAGACTAAAATAATTGTAGACTAAAAGAATTGGTGACTAAAATAATTGTAGACTAAAAGAATTGGTGACTAAAATAATTGTGGACTTGTAGAATTCACCGCGGTCGGAGGACGCCTTCCCTACCCAACATGGCTGGCCACGGCATCCGCCCTGTTCGTCTCGTCGGAGGACGCCTTCCCTACCCAACATGGCTGGCCACGGCATCCGCCCTCTTCGTCTCGTCGAGAGCGCCCTCCCGTGGCAAACGGAAGGGGAGAGATAGGGGGAGGTTTAAAACGAGCGGTCATGGACACCTCGTCTCGCTCGTCTTCTCCTCTTCCTCCTCGTTCGTCTCCGTCTCCACCACCACTACCACCACTGCCGACGACTGTTCCCGCTCTCTTCCCAGCTTTTTCCGGCGCCCAAGACGCCGACACTGACGCCTCAAGGGGTGAGGAGGAACACGCGGCGGGGGGGGGGCAGTCGGGGGTCCGGTGGGGCGCGACACAACGCGATGGGGAGTCGGGGGTCCGGTGTGGGGGGGGGGCAGTCGGGGGTCCCGCGGGGGGGGGGGGGGAGTCGGGGGTCCCGCGGGGAGATGGAGCGGCGATTGATATCGGTTCGCGCGCAGGTGTAAGGCCGATAGTCGCACCGCATTATCAGCTTGGTGTGGAGTTCTTCATCAAGCAGTGGATTGACCACGGTAAATAAGTGTAAGGATGACCGTGGTGAACGCCTCCACGCCGCTTCCACGACGTCTAACCCAGCGTGGAAGAGTAGGCCAAGCACCCTCCAGGGGTTGGGGGGTCTCTATCTCGAGCTCTATGGGGTGGAGAGGCCTTTCCACCAGCAGTGGCGTGAGCAAGACGTTGGCAGGGGGCTGTTCCTGCAGCCATCCACTGCTGAAGGCCTCCCCGGCTCTCACGGCCCCAGCGCGGACACCGCTACCCACTCGCATCGCTCCACACCGCCACGGTGGCCGTCCTCTTTGCCCGTGGCTTCTCTCTCTCCTTTGGTTGCCTTTTCCACACTGCACTGCCGTCAGAATGATTGTAAACATTGGCGCACGAGTCATCCTCTTTTCGGCAATGGCATGTTGTTGATGAAAATCATAATAATAATGACAACGTGCAGATTCTTTGTCAAGCTGCTGCCTAACGAAGGTCTTCAAACGCCGTGCGTGACTAGTCACCGCGGGTTGGTTGAATGTGTGGAGCAAGATCCGTTCAGAATAGAGCAAATTATTCTCCAATTTTCATTGAGAATTTTTTTTCTCTTCATTGAAAACCGTGAGACAATCGCCAACCGTTGTTCCAAACAAATAATATTCACATGATAATGCCCTTTATCCAGTAAAACAGCAGGGTCCTGTATATGGGATGGTTTGGCCAGGTCTACCAGTGAGTGCTTACAGTAACATCAGGCATTGCAGCTGCACAAGTTTAACATGATGAGGCACATAGAAGCATAAACTGTCTGGATTCGTCTGCATAAACGCATGCTGCTGATGGATTAAGAGCCACCTGATGTAACTGTTACGTGGCAAAATAGACGTGTCTTTTTTTAAATGTAGCTATTGTTTTTATTAATTAACAAGTGTTGTTTATGTTTTCGGTGTGATAATACCATAATTGTTCTTTGTGTGGGTTTGACTGCCGTAAGAACATGGGATTTCCAACAACAGCTCAGAACTTTTGAACAGGAGATGAGCGGGAAACCAATTTTTTTTATTATCTGACTTGCTTGTAAATCAACCATGTCCATGTGATGGACAAGTTGGTCCCCTCCATAGGAAAGTTCCCACCATTGGCTGATGGCTGTCAGAAGATGAACACCTCCCTACTGCGTGTTTGAGGATGATGGAGGTCAGGTTCTAGAGCCCGGCATTGGAGTGGCACTTTGAGGTTGGCGACCCAAGGGAAGACCTCAAATACCAAAGGTGGTGGTGGTGGTCGGTTGTGGTGGTCGGTGGTGGTGACGAGACTAAGTATAGATCTTAAGAGATCAGCTGCCAACTTTTCAACAGCTGCAAGCTCAAACAGAAGGAAGCTATGGAGGGGTTTGTGGTGGAATCAACTGAGATCGGGTGCGAATGCCCCTTTACAATGACCACACTCTCATTACATTCATATCACGGTTTATATTCTTGGTGCTTTCGGTAAAGTCACGTAGAAGGGAAACAATCAAATAATGAAAAATATATTTTTATATAATGGAAATATATTTGTATTATTTTACCAAGAATATGAATCCCTGTAGTCAAAATCTTTAAATAAAAAATATATCACGGTTTGTTCATTAAGGCACCAATGTCTGTTTAACTTGACGCGCGCGTGTGTGTGCACGTGTGGTTTCTGTGTGTGTGTGTGCACGTGTGGTTTCTGTGTGTGTGCACGTGTGGTTTCTGTGTGTGTGTGTGCACGTGTGGTTTCTGTACGCAGGCCTGGGCTGGCTCAGCAACCAGAGCTTCCGGACTGTAGATGCCTTGGCTCTCAACAGCCGCAGCATCTGTCCGAGGCGGTGCTCAGATAGCAGGTGACACCCCGGCGCCCGTTCTGGTTTTTATTAACGGGAAGATGCTGACCAAACAATAAGCAGCTCTTCTCTAGTAGCTACACACCTGAGCTGCGTGTCGCAGGCTGTATCACACGAGTTTGAACATTCATTCATTAAGGATCACTGGAGCCCTCGTGCCTATGACCAAGTCACCAGGAATACATCTGATCATAAAATCTTGAAAGCTAAGCAAAGTTTAGCCTGGATAGTCCTTGGATGAGTGACCACCATGCACAAACAGGTTGTCTTAGGTGGCTGTGGGGCTACTTGGTTCGTATCAGAGGACAGTGCCCTCTGATGGACTGTACTTCCGTGCTCCGCATCTATGCTGCGCGAATTCTCCAACCCGCACCGACTATTGTGGTGAGGTATGGTCAAATAATCACCATGACCCGCAGGGCTTGTGGAGACCTTCATCCAGGAGTGCATTAACAAAAGGCTGTGCAGTGCTCCTGACTGATTGCAGATAATATTTTCTCATTAATAACACTTCAGAGTCATGTTAGATAGCCTAGGACACAAGGCCTAGGTCTGTATGTCAATGTGCCATACTGCATTGACATTCCTTAATTGAATCATGACAATTCATCGAGTGTCTGCGGGGGTAAATCGTTAGTTGCTTACTGCTGAATTAATCATTGCAGTGTTCATTGAAGTTGAATCATTCCTGTTGTGTACAAACAACTGCTTTTGTCACTACATTGTGTGTTGATGACAACAAAATCAAGTAGAGGTGGCCGGGTGGTTGAGGTCACAGCGTGGGGCTGGTGTCGTTGAGATCGTGCTACCGAAACCAGGCAGCCGCTCGTGATTAAAACCGGGTTCTTAAGTTTAGTGAATTCATGGTCTAAGCCCACCAAAAATGAATGCATGAATAAAACATCACATTAAATTTGAGAGTTAAACAATGGGGGTGGCAGAGCGGGTGTGAAAAAGCTCACCCTACTTTGTGGAACAGAGGTCACTTGAATGGATCTCAGTGCTTTAAAATGTTTCACAATTCCTTCCACGAATCGATGCCACAATAGGGGACATTTTAGGGAAAGATACACAAGTAAGAAAATGTAAAAGAAAAATTATTGTTGTCTTAAAAGTGATGGCATTATCTTTTTTCCCCAATAGCTACAGCTCCTCTTCCGAGGATTCTCAAGACAACGATCACCAAAGAAGCCCGTTCCGGAGAAGCCCAGTCCGGAGAGGCCCGCATCGGAGCAGTGCTGATGATGATGGTGATGAAGAGAGGAGGAAGGCAGCTGGAGAAAAGAGGAGAAAGGAGCAGAAGAAGAAGAGCAGCAGCAAGAAGAAGAAGAAGAGGCATCATCGGCGGCGAGATGACAGCCACTCTTCAAGTGATAACGATAAAAAAAAGATGGGGAGAGGCATTGCCAGCCGTGACAAAGTGCAAAGGTCAGCTGCCTACCTCAATCAACTTTTAGGGTTGAGAGTGGGGCCACATTAACAACATGTATATATTTTTTTCCCAATTGTATCCTAATTGTGCCATTGGTATAATTTAATTCGGATCTCTCACTTGGCCTATGAAAGTTGATATTCCACAGCTACCTCTGAGATCACTTTCAGTGACCTCGGGTCCACACAGTCGGTGGCAGCACTTCTGTGCCCACCCTGTCACAGAGAGTAATGTTTGTCGCACGACAGTAAAGCGAATATTATTGACTTGTTAGAACCACATTTTCGGAAATGGGGTTTTTTTTTTGTCGTTGGTAACTGGGCTGAGACCAACCCACTACAAACGAGAACCCGGTTTAATCACTGGCAATTTCCGTGGATTGGAACCCAGGATCTCTGCAGTGTTGGCCCAGCGCTTTGATCTCTGAACCACTTGGTCTCCTCCAGAGGAGCCATGTATTTTAAGTTTGTTTTTCTTCCCTTTTCCAAGTTATATTCCTGTTGTAATATCGGCATCACGTAAGAACTCTTGCAAGGCTTGCCCTGTGTCACAGTACGATATTACATATTTTTTAATTAACATTTTTCAAAAGGTATTGTCTTCCCAAAAGGTTTTTCTGCCCAAAAAAGAAGTTTTGCAGTGATTGTTTTCTTTTATTTTTGTAGTTTTTGTGACAGCAGATAATTTAAGAGGGACGAACGTACAAATGGGCAGATGTGATATTTCTCGGGCATCGCAATAAGCGTTGAGTTACGTGTGTGTTAGAATGACTCGGCCAACTGTCGCTGCATTTGTCCTTTGCTACTAAAGCGTAAAGTCAGAAGCCGTGGCCCCAGTACAGCAGCGCAGCATGTGGCTCGAGGATCTCACCGACCCCGCTGCCAGCCCCTTCTACCAGGACTCCAAGCCCGACATCGCCAACTTGCAGTACATGTCCCTGTACCGGGCGCACGTGGCCAGGTGAGAACACGGCACCTCAATTGGAGCGCTGCTTTGAGCACACGTGAGCCTTGCACGCACGCACGCAGTCCGGTCACCTTGTGCCGCGTGCCAGGTTTCCGTACTCGGCATCTTACCGGGACTGCTGGCCTGGCTTGAGTGGTGTGTGCGAGGTGACGCCGACTTGCGTTTAGCACACCTGCACGCAAAAATACATTTGCACCGGCACCTGCTCTGAGATGACTTCCTCCACCAGAGTTTATTTAAGCCAGAGTGTTCGTCCGTCAAACAGAAATGTATAATTCTTAGCCACGTTCTAAATTCATAAACTTGAACCCCACCCACCATAGGTACCGGAGGAAAGGTAAATCTTGCCTTGGGCTGCTCACTGGACGGCAGGCGGTGGAGTGGCAGACGCCCGGATCCGGCAAGAAGCACCATCGGAAGCGGCAAGGAGGCGGCGTTTGTGACGGTCGCTACTTCAGCCCCAATTCTGTTGCCGCCACCGCCGCTGCTATGGAAGAAGAGGAGGCACGGACGGTGGCACCACGAGACCCCGCGCCCCCGCCTACACCCGGAGAGTTCCTCCCGCTAAAGTCTGCTCCCGCTGGCGACGCAACTGAGCGGGCGGCGAGGGAGTTGGTGAACCCGCTGGGCGTGTACGATGACTCCACCACGCTGTGGCTGCAGGGGAAGGCGACGGAGGGCGACGGCACGAGAGAGGTGCGTGCACGCGAAAATTGGGATGTCCGATTATTTAAGTGATTTATTACTCGACTAATTGAGTGCTGCTGGACGGGAGGTGATGGGCAGTGCTTGGTGACGCATTCAGCATCATCATCCGCGTCGCGCTGGACGTGGCCTTGTAGAGGGCTTTCTGACTTTTGGAGGCAGGATGTAGGGGCGGCTGCCACTTTTTAAGGGGCTGGAATAATCAACCACAAAATCGAGTCTTGGCAGAACAATCGTTCCGTTTTTAATCGATCTTAATCGGTGACTCAATGCATCATGTGCCACGCCTACTGAATAACACGAGGAATAGTGTTTTTTTCCGCGTGGTGTGCCTGATGACGGCTAGCAGGACTCAAGTGGCATCACGGCCCTGAGCGCGAGAGAGCGACGATTGCGCGACCGCGTGGAGCAGCTGAACCGCGCCGTGCGGGAGGACCCCGGCGACGTTGCCTCGTGGCTCGCCCTGGCTCGGCTGCAGGATGAGCTGGCGCGCGACGCTTCCTCGCTGCTGCTCATGATTGATGGCGGCGGCGGCAGCACTGGCGGCGGGGGCACGGAGAAGAGCAGGAAGGTGTGTACGACACACGGGTGCCGACTCGCACGCACGTGCGGCACGGGCAACAGCTCGCCCCTCACTAGGCACGCTGTCTTCAAGCAGGCCCTATCGTCATTGCCGTCATTATTATTATTATTGTTGTCATCGCCTTGCTTTTTAATGTCTCGACATCACCGTTGGCTTGTGTTTTTAACGTTTCATCATCGTCATCACCGCCATCTCTAACAACATCGCCTTGTCGTTGTTTTGCCACGCTTGTCCGTGGAGGTGGCCGAGCGAGCGGTGCTGGAGAAGAAGCTGTCGGTGCTGGAGCGCGGCGTGGAATCAAACCCGAGCTCCATGGCTCTGCGGCTGGCTCGCCTGGAGCTGGGTCGCGACCTCTGGGAGTCCGGGCGTCTCGCCGGCGAGTGGAAGAAGCTCTCTTTCCTGCACCCCAACGACCCCGAGCTGTGGCGGCAGTATCTGCTCTTCGCTCAGGTCAGCCACCGGGCTGTAACAATTCGCCCCCCTCTCGACGATTCAGTGAATTGTTACGATTTCGATTTCACCATTCGGTTAAAAAATATGTTTTTACATTTGCGATTTTGCTTCATGATGTCAGGTCGTGTACCGCGTTTTGTTCATCATGATGTCCAAAGTTTTGCTCGCTCCACATGGAGGGAGCTACAGTTAATAAAATATGAGACCAGACATCTGTGATAAAGAGCTTAATAGCTCATCGGATTCCTCCAGTCTAAATAAAAATTCTGATTCTGATGCTGAGCAACATATGGTACAATTTAAATACGCAACCAAAGGGAATTTTACAGCACAACCGTGAAAACGTATCCAGTAAACAGCAAAAGTGTTGCAATGATAAATCGATTAAAATCATCAATTTATGAATCGAGAATAATCAATCGGCAGTTATTTAAAAACTAGCTTGTTTGCCCGTCCTAGGACTGATGAATCGAGACTAATCAATCGGCAGTTATTTAAAAATGATGAGACACTGGCTACCTGGTCTCCAAAAGCTTGAAAACTCGCCGTTACATGGTGCCGATGATGTTGTCATACATCTACATACACCTCAACCTTGGATACGGTGCCACCCAAGCAAACAGTGAAGTCAATCCTTAACCTCACACTTTCGTCAGTTATTTATCTCCACCTTTCAGAATGTTTGTGACCTTGCGCATTCTCTCGCCCACGCGCACACAGGGCAAGTACACTATATCCAGCGGATCGCGCGTTAATGCGCCCGTCTGTGGGTGGGTGTGCGTGTGTATGTGTTGAGCTTTTTTCACACCGTACATAGCCAAACGTGATCATCGGAGGTGCGGCAGGAGGACAACAAACTCAACACAAAAAAACTTGCAAAAAATTCGTTTTTAATCCAGTTTTAAAAGTCCATAGCTCCAGTGGCTTCCGAATATCCGAACGAAGAGCCTTCCAGAGGGCCGCAGAAGCGCATCTGAAAGCACGCGACGCGATGACCGTCTTTGTTCGATGGCTCGCCAAAATCCGCCGCTAGGATGACGGGAGTTGGCGTGATGGCTTGTGCTCCTTGACGCACACGGGGCCATTAACGCAACGTTTGGCGGGTCGCGCCTTAACGCACCCTTCTGTGTGTGGGTGTGTACGAACACGTGTTCGCACGTGTGCATTCCTGTTTGTGCACACGCAGAGCCAGTACGCGACGTTCGGCGTGTCGCGCGTGAACGCGACCTACGGGAAGAGCCTCGCGACGCTGTCCGGCGTGGTGGACGGGACCCTCGTGTCGCACCCTCTGCTGCCCAACACGGAGTCGGCCATGCTGGGTGAGACGGCGCTGCAATACCGCCCCTGACGCGATCATCGACCTCTCCGTGCCGAATCTACTACATCACCGTAATCGTCACTGTTATCATCCGATGTGATTAGGCCATTGTTGTGCTGCCGTCCAATTTGTCGTATTTGGAAAATTACCCGCATATTGCTCGATTGGGATCACGCAAGGAGTCATCGCCCCCAACTAGAAGGCTAATGCCTTGTCGCTGGCCAGGTGCTGAGTGACCTTGTGCTGAACAGGCACAGCTACCACTGGGAGTGCCATTTCAAATATGATGAGATGCGATGTCGATCATCTTGTGTAAAGCGCTCCGAGACGTCCCGGCGTAGAGACCGTGGCGATGGTGATCACAAACAGCAGCAGGATCTTTTTCAACCAGCACCTTCTTCATCTCTCTACCCTCTTCACCTCCCCCGCTGCTTTGCCTCCCCACACAGACATCTTCTTGCAGCAGTGCCACTTTTTGCGGCAGGCCGGCCACACGGAGAAGGCCATTTCGCTCTTCCAAGCCATGATGGACTTCAACTTCTACCGGCCAGACACCCTCGCCGAGGTCACCACCAGGGGCCTGGTACGTCTTGCCACTGCGCACGCGTAACACAGTCATCATTGTTACTTAATGTTTATACCGCGACTCCGATGTGGTGCGTCTCAAGACGCCCTGCGGCAGGTAGCCCCCAGTGGCAGCTGTCCCTGTGAGGCACAAAGTGAACGCAGCAGCAGCAGCCTGCAGGTGGGCAGTAGTCTTAAGGTAGAGGGGCTATGTTGGTATGTAGCTTCCCAATTGAGTCATTTTAGAGTAATGAATAAAATTGGTAGTTTAGACCACGGCACTGGCACACGTGGAAATATTTAATGTCCACCTTGAAGAGGATGGATGCGTGTTTGATGGTTAATACGCTCGCAGTGTAAACCAGGGTGGCTGCCAGGATTTAAACCGCGAACCTCTGCAACAAGCGGTGAATGTGCTGCCACTGGATCACCTGTAGCGATTCCCTCTCCCTGGCAATTCTGCGAGTTGTCGCGATTTGGGTGTTCAGATGCCGAGTAAAGAATCGATCTTTTTTTTTTGTCTCGGCTCTGGGGTGCTGACACGTGTCTCCGCTCTCCAGGTGGAGTTCTTCGAGACATTCTGGGACAGCGGGGAACCGCGGTTCGGCGAGCCCGGAGCGCGTGGGTGGAGTGCCTGGATGAGGCAGAAGGAGAGGGGTGGCTGGGTGACCCTTGACCCTCCAGGTGGGTGGGGGGGGGTTGGGACTGACCTGAGAAGTGGCGATGGTGAAATGTTTAATTAAGCGGGTGGAAGTGAGAATTTGGCAGGTTGCTCGAGGCAAGAAGGCTGACCCAGCACCGCAGACATCCTTGGTTTGTTTCCAGGCAGCCGCTTGTCATAAAACTGGGTTCTCAAGTGTTGTGAATTTATCGTCTCAGCCCGGTCACAAAAAAACAACCCAACCCATCACATCTAAATTGGTTCTGCATTTAACACGCAGGCTTTCGTGACAGATTTTAAGATTCGTTTATGATTGTTTTGGGGGGTCAGAGTGCATGACTACAATATCAACGTGTGCTGAACACCCTCCCACTACCTGGACACAGCTGAATAAATATTGAGAGATATAAAAATTATTTCAGCCAAGCCGACAGCTACAGACTGAGTGTGGCTTGGAAACGCATTGTGACGTTATAACATATAACGTAGCCGCAATATAATGCTGTCACATTTACAGAGTCGGCGTAGAACGAGCGGCTCAACCCCAGCACAATGTGAATCGGAATGCACTACTTGACAACAAACCTCACTAATTTGTCATAACACAGCACTCTAAAACATTACAAAATCTTTACAATAATTAAGACGAAATCACATTCAACATTTAATCATTGCATATACCTTAATGATAACCTTTAACGTGTTTATCATTACGACACTCATTCGGCCAAATTCTAGTTCTGAGAATTACGTATCACTTTGCCGTTATGTGACAAACATTACTTATAGGCTCTTCCTATCATGACGTGCTTCAATCGGTATAATAAAGCTGGAGAAACACAGAAAAAAACTATCTATAATTAAATACATGCCAATAGGCTCTAACGGTGGTTCGTTCCTGGATTTTCATCCGGGCCATCGCATAGAAGGTCCGTCGTGTTTTGTGTTGTTTGCCCTTGACTCTCTGGTTTCTTCTCTCTCTGCGTGAGCAGACGAGGGTGATGAGGTGGGAGACGATGACGGGGAGACGCCGGAGGAGGAGCTGGCGGCGTCCTCCGTGCCTCGCTGGCGCGCGTGGTTATCCGTGGAGCGCTCGCGCGAGCGCCGCCAGTGGCTGCCGTGGCGACCGGATAAGGGCAAAGGTCAGACGGAGACCGACTGCGAGGACCCGGACAGACAGGTGATCCCACCGTGTGACCCTGACGCTGCACGCGGAATTTTCCGTTGCTGTAAAATGAGTTTGATCCAATTTCTGTCCACCAATGTTATGCCGATTGTGCTGTCGGCGCCACGTCATGATGCAGGGAATCCATGGGAATAATCTCACAGGGCAATGCATTACCCCGTGTGCAAAAATGGCCTGTCGAAGTGGATATCACGTAACTACTCCCAAGACCCATTCACGGTGACCTCTGATCCACTCTTGGTGCGGGGTGCTTTTCCACATGCGCTGCTGTAGAGATGGTTCATTGCAGCACAGATGTATATTTTTTTTAATTCTCAGAGCTGGAAGTTAATACATTTAAGTGAGATACCAAATTTAGTGGGGGCGGGGGGGTGTTTGTGCAGTCATTGGTGACTGGGCTGAATCTATCAACCCACTCGACTTCAGAACCTGGTTTAATAATCACAGGTGACTGAAACCCGGATTATAACCTAGGGTCGCAGCATGACCAGCTCGGTGCTCTCCTACTTCGCAGTGATAGGTGGCCAGGCTTACACAAATCAAATGCACTTCACAGCCAGGCTTATTCACAGGTCGGCTGAAACCCGGATTTGGACTCCGTGGTCTCCGCGGTGCCGAAACGGCGCTCTGACTCGTGCACCTCGTGAACCCCGGCAGGTATTATACGACGATGTCGGCCCGTCTCTCTTCACGCTGCGCACCGCCGGCCTGCGGCGACAGCTCGTCGACCACTTCCTCACCTTCCTGGGCGTCCCGCCGGCGCCAGGACCGGCGGGCGGCGGGGGGTGTCACCGCCCGCCCCCGCCCTCCGCCTTGGACGACCCGGGGCTGCTGTTTGCCGAGGAGCGGGCGCCGTCGTTGGTGCGCGACGTGGCGGCGGCGCGGCCCGGCGCCACCGCCCTGGGACCGTCGCCCGACGTGGAGGAGGAGCAGGAGAACGAGTGGGGAGGAGCGACGGCGGCGGTCGCCGGGACCCGGCGGTGGCGGTGGAGCGGCGGCGCCGCCGGAGAGGAGTTCGTGAGGAGCGTGCTGGAGCAAGCACTCCAGCTGTTCTCCGGCGCGGAGCGGGCGGCCCTGGGTCTGCGCTGGCTGCGGCACCAGAGGGCAAAGGTCGTTGCGCTAACGTTGATGCTCTCGTAAGAGCGTTTTCTTGGACTCGCGATTATTTCTCGCGATGAAGGAGATGCCACCTGGAGAAACGAGCGGCCCTCCACTCGTAGATACACTCCTGAGGCTGCGTGTGTTCAGAGAGCATCTGAATGTCGAAATACAAGACATTAGAGGCCAGTATGAGTAGAATGATGGGTTAGGGTAACATTGACCGGTGTTGATTCTTACGCTCATTTTACACGCGTAGAATTGTGTGCAAATGAGATTTCAAAAAATATGCAAAAGAGGGGAAACAATAAAATATAATAAAACATCTGTGACAAAATAAACCCACGAGTTGGGGAGATTGAACAGTTAGCGCTATCACTTCAGGAAAATGGAACTCGTGCAATAACCACCGAACCCTAACCCACCAAACGTTTCCCTGCAGGTGGAGGCCGTGCTGGGCTCGGGCGACCGCCGGCGCGCCAAGGCCCTCGGCAAGCGTAGCCGGCGCCTTGCAAAGACCCTCCTCAAGGAGCCGGCAAACCGCAACCGCCTGGAACTCTGGGAGGAGTTTGCGCTGCTCGAGTGGCGGCTCGGCGAGCGTGCGGCCGCCCGCAAGGTCCTGGACACGGCCATCGCCGTGGCCACGGCTTCCGCCGGCGCCGCCGCCAAGACGGCCTCCCCGCCGCCGCTTAGCGACGGGCCCCTGTGCTCGCTGTGCCTCCGCTACGCGCAGCTGGAGCTCGAGGTGAAGGAGGGCGGCGCGGGCGCGGCTGGCGAGGGCGGCCAGCGAGCGACGCACGTGCTGGTCGCGCTGGCGGCGTCGGATGGCGCCGGCTACTCCCCGTTTGACGGGCACCCCGCGCCGCCGAGCTCCGTGCTGCGCGCACGCAAGAGCTTCGAGCGCGAGCTCGATGCGCTGCTGGCAACCGAATGGAGCGCCGACGCCGACTCCGGTTCCAGCGGACGAGCCCGACTGGCGACGGTGGCGTGCTGCGCGGCGACGCTGCAGTACGTCACGGCCGGCGTGTGGGCCGCCGACGCCGTGTTCGCGCGCGCGAGCGCTGCGCTGCTGGCACGAGGTCGCGACCCCGGAACGATAAATCCGGAAGGGCAGGCGGTGGTGGCGGCGGCGGCGGCGACGGGAAGAGGCCGGGAGGCGCCGGCTTGCGGTGGTGTCCCTGCCGGCGGCGTGGAGCTGGAATCGCTGCTGCTGGAGCGAGCGAGGCTGCTGCGTTTCCACGCGACGCTGGTGCCATTCCCACGGCGGCCGCTGCGCGAGGCGCTGAGCAGCGCCGTGGCACTCGTCCCCGACAGCGCCGAGCTGCTGCGGATGTACACGCAGAACGAGGCGAGTGAAACGACGCGAGAGTGGTCCCCGTTGAAATTGCAAGCGGACCGAGCCTGGTTGCGGGTGCTGCGGTGAAGTTACCACCGCTTAGTGGCTGCTGATTGATGTCCGTGCGCTTGTGCGTGCATGTGTGAGTATGTGCCACTCAGCCCTACATGAGTACTTGGTGCATTGTGTAAACATCAGCACTAGGAAGCGGCCAGGCGTGATGCTGGCCGCACGCTGCAGTTACAAGCGTGCCGTGCCAGCCTTAATAGGTGCTGGCTAAGGGCAGTCTCCCGCCTACTGGGCATGCAGTGACTTTCCCCCCCCCCTTCCGCCAGCATCAGTTTGCGCACACAGTCGTGAGCACGCCGTACAGGGAGGACTGCGTGAGGGATGCACCATCCATCCCCGACGCTGATTCTTGCGCCACGTCCTCAAGGTGTCTGAGAAGTACGTGCGACCTCGTGGAACTGCCCGTGCGTCTGTCTAGACGGCGAGCGGAGGCCTCCACATGGGGGAGCTGCGTCGAGCGTTGGGCCGGCTCATGAGGACCGAGGGCAGCCCCCTGCCCTGGCTCTTCGCCGTGTACGCCGAGCTCCGGCGCAAGAGGGCGGTCGACTCCATCTCCGGGTGAGCCCTCTCTCCCCCTCTTGTATCCACCACTCCCTCACCTACCTCTCTCACATCCACCCTCCTCCACTCCCTCCCCCACTCCCTCCCCTCTCCCTACCTCTCTCACATCCACCCTCCTCCACTCCCTCCCCCACTCCCTCCCCTCTCCCTACCTCTCTCACATCCACCCTCCCCCACTCCCTCTCTCCTTCCCCACTCCCTCCCCTCTCCATACCTCCCTCACATCCACCCCTCTCCTCCCTCTCACATCCACCCTCCTCCACTCCCTCCCCCACTCCCTCCCCTCTCCCTACCTCTCTCACATCCACCCCTCTCCCTCTCACATCCACCCCTCTCTCCCTCTCACATCCACCCTCCTCCACTCCCTCCCTCCCTCCTTCCCCACTCCCTCCCCTCTCCATACCTCCCTCACATCCACCCCTCTCCTCCCTCTCACATCCAGCCTCCTCCACTCCCTCCCCCCTCCCTTCCTCTCTCACATCCACCCCTCTCCTCCCTCCCCTCCATACCCCTATTAGATATACCCATATTGTGCAGTGTGATCCTTTTATAGATATCCCACATTGCTTATGAGCCCCTCTTTCTTCTCAACAGGTGATTGAATACCGTGAAAGTGACGGCTCGATATCGTACAGATCAGAGCTTTAAAATAGTTGATGAGTGCGTTGAGACTGTTGGGAGATGTGTAGAGGCTTTGAAATAAAATACAAATGTCTCTATGCTATTTCAGTGGGATGTCTATCAATGGATCACTCTGTATTTTATCATAAATTGTGTTGCATCTTTTATAATTCGTGTCTCAGGTTTTATTTTACTCACTCCTCTTCGCTCCCTGTGGAGCATAAGGCCGCAAACAAGCCCACGCCATGCCGGACGGTCTTTAGCAGCTTGCAGGTTTTTTATTTTGCGTTCCACCAAATCTATTAGTATAGAATAAAAATGAAAAAAAGTATTATCAATGTGTGTCCCGCGCCGCGCTCTCTTGCGCCGCGTTCCCTTGTGCTCGTTCGCAGCTCGGGCAGAGACGCGGTCTCCGTGGCGATACCGGAGTCCGGGCTGAGCAACCGCTTGCGCTCGCTGCTGGAGCGTGCGCTGAGCGTGCCCTCCGTGGCGCGCTGCCCCCTCGCGTGGCGTCTCTACTTGCACTTCTTGGTTTGTCCCCCCCCCACCGCCTCCCACATTCATCATCGTCATCATCATCACCATCGGCGTCATCACCAGCAGCACCATAGCCATTGTTGTTATTAGCAGCACCCATAACCGTCGCCTTAGTAGCACCATCATTATTGTCAGCAGCAGCAGCAGCATAATCATCATTTTCAGCAACAGCACCATCATTCATCAGGAGTACCATAACCATCATCGTCAATATCAGCAGCAGCTGCATCACCACCATCGTCGTCAACAGGGCTTGGACCATATTCATCACCGGCGTCATATTCATCACCAGTCGTTGTCACAAACATCAATATTTTAAATTATTTCTGTCGGGATGAAATTTTTTATCACCGTCATAATCGGCATCATCATTATCTCGCGTTTTATTGTCACCAACATCATCAAAAGCACCGCGATGTCATTCACAAGAGCAAGTCGCTGTTTCTCTGTCTCTCTTTGTCACCCTCGCTCTGTCTCTCGCCGTCTCTCTGTCTCCACGCTCCCTCTGCCCCGTGCCCCCGCTAGAGGGTTCAGGGCACGACGTCGCGCAGTGAGGGGATCCTCTACCGTGCTGTGCAGGCCTGCCCCTGGGCAAAGGTGAGGCCTCGCGCAAGCCCACGGCGTCCGAGAGCGACGCCACCTACCGCCCCTTCCCTTGGCCCCCCGAGTTTCTCTGTCGCTGACTGTTGAGTCTCTCCGACCGTTGACTCTCAGGGCATGCGAGGTCTTGGTAATTTTTACCATCCGCTTTGTGTTTCATGATGGTTTTGTCTCGTTCGTCAAATTTAGTTTTTTTCCGTATGCCAAAATGTAACATTTGGTGTACACGTTGCATATAATGTGCTTAAATTATGACGACGATTATTACACGCACAATCCGATGCATGCATTGTGAGCATAAGAACTAACTTCATAACCAATTTAACGATGTAGCATTGCTTGCTTCACACACGTGTATGTCCCCCCCTCTCCCCCCGCCGGCATCCCTACTCTGCGCCCACCCCCACCCTCCCGCCCCCAGGTGCTGTACATGGACGCTGTGCGGAGTTTCCCCGAGCGTGTGCAGGAGCTGACGGACATGATGACGGAGAAGGAGCTTCGTCTGCGCGCTCCACCCGAGGAGGTGGACATCCTCATGGAGGACTAACCGGGAGGACGCTACTCTTGTCGCGCTCTCACCCTGCCGCTTTGCTGTCCTTCCTCCGCACCTCCGATTGGCGCGGTTGGCTACGTACGGTGCGAAAGAAGTTCAACATACGTACTTTGCTGCCCCCGCTGGCACGGGCCAACCAAACTCCCGGAGAAATGTAAGGCCCTGGAAGCCGCATACCGGGGGAGGTAGAAAATCAGAGATGGTACGCTGGGGGCGACCGAATGTCGGAAACACCGAACGCTGGAGTGGGGGGGGGGGTCCGAAAACTTATCGGGGTACAAGAACAGCGGGCAGACTGAACCCAGGAGAAGACTGAACATTGGTTGGGTTGATCGAACATCGAAGATGTTGACACCGGCGAGACCAAACACCAGAGTGACCAAACACCGACTTTGTGTTCTTTCGGAGCGAGGAGTCACAGCAGGGGGACGTGGGTCTGCAAAAATAATAATATGATAATGCATTGCAACTCTTTGTCACTTAATTGCTGGTTGAAGGGGGCCCTCACCATTGTTTTTCTATCTCGCGGCTTGTTTGACCATACTTGTTACCGCGGTGGTCATTGTGGGTTGGTGAACGGCAAAGAGGGCTCAGGAAACCGGTTCAGATGTCACTCGGCCAGCCGATGGTGGCCGCGTCCGGGATTCGATCTCGGGGTTTCCACGTTTCGTAGACGCGGGAGCGTTAGCCGCTGCGCCGCGGCCCCGCTCCTGCGTGTGGCTTTGTGCGTGAACTCCAGCTCGGGTCGCTTTTTTTGTTCTGGGAGCGGGGAAGTGCGTTTTTCGGAATTTTTGTGAACACAAATGTGAGCCGCCCGGCCGCATCTCTGTGAATGCGGTGGGCCGCGTGAGCATTGTTCACCTGCATTTTAAGGCGGGCGTGTGAAGCAAGGCAAATATTAGTTTTGTCTTAGCGCTAATGCCTCTGAAATAAAGTTTACTTTTAAGAGAGTCAATAAAAGCCACCACTGCGAAGTTCTTCAAAATATTCGGAAACCCTAACGTGTGAGGACCTGGGTGTAGCTTTGTCCTGTAACTGGCTGCACGTAACCGTTTTGGTACAGGTAAATAAAGTGCAAAAAAGTGGACAATTGTTCCCGAACGTTTACACCCCAGTGTTCCACACAGTAGGCAATCCGCGTTTCCGTGATCGTGTAAATACAGAAGGGTGTTTCACATGACGTCCTGTGTTGCTGTGTTAATGCGTACAGCACACGCATAGCCGTTTTTGTCAATCCACTGCTGGATGAGGTCCTCCCTACAAGTTTTCTGAAACTGGACCAGTCCCTCCTCCTTCACCCCCCTCCACCGAGCAACGTGGTGAAGTATGGTCAAACAACCCCCATAATTGACGCGGCGGGAGAAGTCTTTGATCCAGCAGTGGATTGATGAAGGGCTGTTAAGTGATACGAGTGTGCAAGTATTATTAACATTGCAGGCTGATGGTGTCACGATGTCAGCTGTTGCCAATTCCGAGCTTGGCCGCTGGGTGGCGCCGCGTGACCGCTGGCCGAGAAACGGTGGAAGAAATCCGCGTTCAGCCGACGGCAAGTGCAATGACGACATTGTCCTGTGCAATGACGGTATTGTCCTGTGCAATGACGGCATTGTCCTGTGCAATGACGGCATTGTCCTGTGCAATGACGGCATTGTCCTGTGCAATGACGACATTGTCCTGTACAATGACGGCATTGTCCTGTGCAATGACGACATTGTCCTGTGCAATGACGGCATTGTCCTGTGCAGTTTCGGTTTATTTATTTTGGTATAGCCCTGTGAGCCATTCGGCTCTTGAATCGGGTGCAACCACAACAAACAAAAACACGAACAAGAAAAACATCTTAAAGTGACTATGTGACTGTGCAAACAGAAAATCCATTAAAAAAAACAGCAAAATATTCCTGAAAAAAGCACCGTACACCAACGCTGTGTGCAAAAAATCCCAGTGGGATGCAAGTCAAACAACAACCACAAGAAAACTTAGATTAAGGTCATCAGTCTAACTCCGTACTACAACAAAACAAACATGTCCAAACCAAAAAACTTTTCCAAATCAAAAACTAAAGCCATAATTGCAACGTAACAGTGATCACAAGGATTGTGACCGAATTTTTACGATAAACTACAAAATAACATGTAACACCAAATCCTAGAGCCATAGCTGGCTGCATGAGTTACTCAACAACAGAAGCATCAGTCGGAGTATCAAATTTTTCAATGCACCTTTAAGATCAGCACGCTAAATCAAAATACAGATAATACTTTGCAGCGTCATCCGGAGCGAAACATTTTATTTTATTTTACGCCAATGAATAGCAGTGGCAGCTAGGGGTGTACAACTCCTCTAGAGCAGTTTTGAGAGAAGATCTCATTGGTAGCGATTCAAGTTGCAGTTTATTGGCAATAGCATTCCAGACCATGGGGACATCAATAGCAAAGGCCCTTCCTCCAGTTTTTGTACGGAAATAGGGAATGTGAAGCTGGTAAATGAGCGAAGACCAGAGGTCAAATTTGTTCTTTGAAACAGAGAGGAGATCCAGCAGGTAGTCTGCGTTTTTTTTGCAATGACGACATTGTCCTGTGCAATGACGACATTGTTTTGTGCAATGACAACTTCTGGTAGATTTCCATCCGCGAGGGAGTACGCGTATAGCAGCAGTTCGTTTCCCAATCCGCTGTTGGATGAGAGCCTCCCCCATGAGGCGGGAGGGGTTAAGACCATACTTCACCACCCGGGTCATTACGGACCGGGTGGGGAAGTATAGACGCGGGAGGATGGCAGCCCAGTAAATTTGCTGCGCTTTTCACCCTCTGCTGCCCATATAGGACTCACCACTGTGATCTCTACATTGGGTCAAACTTAACATCTCTTAATGTTCGACGGCTTGTGCACCAGATCGTATTTATTCACGATGTACTTACAAAAAAATCCGCAGACTACCTGCTGGATCTCCTCTCTGTTTCAAAGAACAAATTTGACCTCAGGTCTTCGCTCATTTACCAGCTTCACATTCCCTATTGCCGTACAAAAACTGGAGGAAGGGCCTTTGCTATTGATGCCCGCAAAGTCTGGAATGCTATTGCCAATAAACTGCAACTTGAATCGCTACCAATGAGATCTTCTCTCAAAACTGCTCTAGAGGAGTTGTACACCCCTAGCTGCCACTGTTATTCATTGGCATAAAATAAAATGTTTCGCTCCGGATGACGCTGCAAAGTATTATCTGTATTTTGATTTAGCGTGCTGATCTTAAAGATGCATTGAAAAATTTGATACTCCGACCGATGCTTCTGTTGTTGAGTAACTCATGCAGCCAGCTGTGGCTCTAGGATTTGGTGTTACATGTTATTTATGTAGTTTATTGTTAAAATTCGGTCACAGGCCTTGTGATCACTGTTACGTTGCAATTATGGCTTTATTTTTTGGTGATTTGGAAAACGTTTTTTTTGGTTTAGACATGTTTGTTTTGTTGTAGTACGGAGTTAGACTGATGGCCTTAATCTAAGTTGTCTTGTGGTTGTTGTTGTTTGACTTGCATCCCACTGGGATGTTTTGCACACAGCGTTGGTGTACGGTGCTTTTTTCAGGAAAATTTTTGCTGTTTTTTTTCAATGGATTTTCTGTTTGCACAGTCACATAGTCACTTTAAGATGTTTTTCTTGTTCGTGTTTTTTTGTTTGTGGTTGCACCCGATTCAAGAGCCGAATGGCTCACAGGGTTACACCAAAATAAACTGAACTGAACGTGTCCCCGTAGATAGTTTCAAGTTTCATTTATTAGGTATAGCCCTGTGAGCCATGCGGCTCTTGAGTCGGGTGCAACCGCAACAAACAAAATATGAATACAGAACATCCCAAAGTGACGACGCTAGAAAGACGTTGCATTATTTGATTTTATAACAGTGACGCATTGTCTAATTTTAAAAGCGCCGCTGGTAAAACAACCCCGGGGGAGTCCCGTGTCAATGTTGTTAAGGAGGGGTGGGGGTGGGTGACTTCGCGTGGGGTAAAAACCCCACCTCGACCAACCAGCCGGGTGGCAATTACGCGACCCCCTGCTCATGGGCATTGAGGGGGCAGATTGGCCCACCCCACAGATCCTGGTAGGTTAATTGCCCGGAGCGTATGGCGCTCGCAGGTATAACCCAGAACCAGCCAGTTGTATCATAGACGTGTTTGTATTGTCTTACGGGTGTACGGGAGCGGTGGCGCAGTGGTTAGCGCACTGCGCTCTGAAATCCCAGACGGCCCGAGTTCCATCGCTTGTCGCGGTTCCAACATGCGTGGCGAGCGATGTCTGAGCAGGTTCTCGGCGCGCGCCGATTTGCGTGCAACAAAAATATGGCGAAGACGCAACCCCCTGTCTGTGACGAGACACTGCGAGGTTGGGGTGAGGCCTTCATCCAACAGTGGATTGACACGGGGGGGGGGGCTGTACATGGAACGTCAGGAGCCAAAGGTGCCTCGCTGCTCTGACGAGCGCCACGGGGTGCTTGCTGTGTCACTATGGTTGTTGGTGGACTGCACCCCCCTCCACCCCCACGTTGACACAGCGATGGATTGAACGAGGAGGGAGGGCCCATAACCTAATCCCCTTGCAGCAGGACCCGTGTCAGACACTACGCCACCCATACAACAAGCAACACATGGCAAGGGGTCTCAAGGCGGCGACTACAATATAAAAAAACTAACAACCCGACCTGTGTCGGCTTCAGGAGACGAGAACAACAACAACAACCGTCAATCGCCACTTTAGTGGCGGTGACGTCGCCGCCGGCACTTGTGCCAGGCCTGGTGCACTTTTAAGGCCACGTGAAGTGTCGAACGCTCGCAGGCAAAGAGGTCACGGATACAGACCCAGCTACCATGGGTTGACCAACTGAGGTGACACGAGGTGACGTGTCTCCGTCACGAGTCGCAATACATGCCTTGTGGCCCACACATACACCAGGGTGACAAGACACACAGACACGTCACCCTGGTGTATGCCAGAGGGTGCGGGGAGCGGTGGTGTAGCAGGTTAGCGCTACGCTGCGCTACGAACCCGGCGACCCGGGTTCGATTCCCGTCTCGCGGCCAACGCCGGTGACGATTTTCTGTACCGGTCATGGGCCTCCCCTAGGTCGACTCGGCCTCAAATGAGTACCTGGTGCGGTGTGTAAACATCGCCGCCGGGGAGACAAAGGCGTCCGGGCGTGGTGCTGGCCACCCACCCCCTCGTGTGGTGTGCCGTGCCGGCCTTCATAGGCGCTCGCTAACAGCACTTTCTACACGGGGGATCTTTGTCTTTTGTATGCCACCCGAATGTAAATAAACATCAGGAGGGGGTCCCCCAGTGTTTTATTTGACTTGCCGCAGGGTTGCTGATGAGTAATAGCGGTTGAAACCGGTCCGATGGGATGATTAATCTATTCGCTGCTGGAACGCCTCGATCTTCGACTGATGGAATCACATGGTGGAGTTGAAGCCGGACTAATTGGAGGCGCAGGCGGTGAGCCGTTCCGGTTAAGGGAGTTCTACGAGATACTGGATGTAGGCGTTGAGTTGACTTACATTTTACACGGTTATAAATGCAACGTCTCTGTTAATAAATTGGATAAACCCACAGCAACATCCTCCCCCCCACCCCCACCATGACTGCGATGCTATTGATTTGTGAAACCGTCTTCCTGCTATCATTGCGCCAAAAGAATAGCGCGGATACCGAATTCAATTGGAGAGAATTTGTATACACACACTCACTCGCGCAAGTATGACATACTGACACAGCAGACCACCCCTTTTATCGCCTTAAATAGACTGTTGGGGCAAGGGCTGTTAGCGAGCACCTATTAAGGCTGGAGACGTCACACGGCGCGGCCCGCCCCCCCCCCCCCTGGACTGATGTTTGCACACCGCACCAGGCACAGAGGTACAGTACTCATTTAAGGCTGAGCCAGCCTAGGGGAGAGACCGAGAAATTCGCTCCTGTTGTTGTCTATGAACGGGAATCGAACAAACAACTGCCCCCAAGTACGACCTACATATATATAAAACATAAAGACGCGCATACCTAAGCCATGATATATAATTACACGTGACACAGGCACGCCTATGATGAGTTCACTCGGAATGCGCCCGATGGCGAAAGCTCAGCAGGGTCTTTAGGCCTGGATGCTGCTTTGAATTGGCCAACACGGAC